GAACGGTTAAAGCAAATGAAATGGCTGAGTCATGATAGAGTGGTACTGATTTTCCTCTCCGGGCACGATGGTCTGGGAGAGTTTAAAAGGCGTTTTAACCTTGATGTTAGATATGGTTGTATTTGTGGTGAAGCTATAGAGGATTTGCAACACATCATTTATGAATGTATACAATGGCAATATCAGAGACATTTATTGAAATCGGTTGCGTTGGCTGAGGGGCTAGGTTGGCCCTGTAGTATTTATAACCTGATTCGGAATGATACGACATACAAAGAAATTCAGTTTTTCTTTAGGAAGGTTCATAAGAGCAAGAGCGCTCAATTGTAATTTGATCCTGGGCGAGTTGCCCAGTAGTATGTTAATTGTTTCTTTTATTTATTTTATTTGTTATGTTAAATTACTGTATTTAAGATTGTAAAGAACAAAGAAATTAACAAACCCCGTTGTGCAATAGCGGTGTGGGGTGTTCTGATCCCTGTAAAGGGAAGTGATGATCCCCAATGAAAAAAAAAAAAAAAACCTTTCCGCCTTAGGTGGTAATATATTCTGTCACTAAGGATTCTATCAAGAACCTTCCCTAGGACTGGCAAGAGACTGATCAATCTATAAGACTTCGGTTCATCCTTCGGGCGCCTCTCCTTATGAATAAACACAAATCGCGCCCGCTTCCACAGTACTGGGAAGTGACCCAGTTGCAGACACCTCTGGTACAGATCCCGGAGCAGGCCAGGACGTTCATGTTGCAGAACTTGTACCATTTCGGCCGTGATCCCATAAACGCCAGGTGCCTTCCTCTTCCTTAGTGTGCCCACAACGTGGACTACTTCAGATTCGGACACCGGCACGAGTAACTCGGCCTCAAGAACGGGCAGCTCCGTGTCACTTCGAAGCCGCCTCTGTTCTTCGGTATCATCGGACCGCTCATCGACGGAAAGTGCGAGCGGAGCAGCACCTGTATCGATTCCTCCTGTGTGGAGGTTAGGGTACCATTAGGTCTTTTCATGGCCCCCAAGACTGTACTACGCTTGAGTTTGCCCACTGCTAGCTTGTAGGATAGACAGAACGGGTTATTGTCACTAACTTCCTTACAGAAACTGAGCCATGAGGTCTTTTTCGCATCGTTCAATTTGCACTTGTACTCAGCGTTGGCCCTCTGAAACTCCAGTTTCCTGGTAGCCCGAAGGTCATCATCCCTGCATCATTGAAAGCGTCGGCAGAGCGCCCTCACACGCTTCCGAAGGACACTCAGTTCCTGGGTCCACCAGGGAACTGACCAGTGTTTGTGGGGCCGCCGTTGCGCGAGTGTGCAGTCTCCTGCTCCTCTGACTGCATTGGTTAAGTTTGCCACCACATCCTCCAGATCCTCGACACTCTCAACCTTAGAGACTTGAGTGGCGATATCGGCTGTCTTTTCTTTGAGGCATTTGCTAAAGCGATCGCAGTTTCCGGCAGTCAGCATGTAGCAGTAGCTCAGCCAGGCAATCGAGCCGTTCAACACCTCAAAAGAAATGAAGCGATGATCACTACAGCTTTCCGCATCGATCGTTTCCCACTGAGAGGTCAGTCTCAACATAGCTCCACTAATGATAGTAAGATCAATCCAGCTTTCACCATTACAGTTGGAGAAGGTAGCAATCCCGAACGGATCATTCAAGATATGCATACCCCACCCCTCCACCGTCTCCTTCATCATGTTCCCGTCCGGATTGTCCACGAGGGATCCCTACAGTGAGTGCTTGGCGTTAAAGTCACCAGCCAAGACAACTCGACCGCGGAGCGGGACAACCCTTTCGAGTTCAATCAGAAAGTCGCCCAGCTCTAGTGACGGTGGGCAATAAGCGAATATCACAGTCCAAGCACATTAGGTGTCCGTATTTCTACGGCCACCACGAAATGAGAGACGTGGAAAGCATATGCATCGACATCCCTTCGTGTGAGTATAACTGCAGCTCGACATTCGTCACCTTCTTGGGCATAAACGCTCCATTGTAGTGAGAGACCACCAACTTTTCCAAATGCTAGGTACGGCTCTTGGAGCAGGATAATATCAATCTCCCGCTCCGCCACTTCCACCTTTAATTGGGTGGTTGCGGCGTGACACTTCTCGGCGTTAAACTGCAATATTTTGCAGCCGCACTCATCATTCTGCTGTGTGTAAAAGAAAGCAGATTTCGGCATGAGGCACTAACTCTTTACTGACCAAAGTCAGTTCTGGCCTGAGCTCTTTCGAGCTCCCGCGGATTGTGCCTACTGTTGACCTGTTCAAGCCATACTGCCTAGTAACATCAGACATCTGCTCTAGTTTGGCTATTATCCCTTGCTTGGTTTCTATGGTGAGCACGGTTCTCGAAACTCCATGCTTTATAGGCTCGACAATATTATCAGTTTCTGTTTGAAATAAAAAGTTCAGAAAAGCACTCACAAAAATTCAGAGAACAGAAATCAACTAGTGCATGAAAGAATTATGTAAATGTGAGGCCTGAATGTAATTTGAAGTTTTGGTGTTAAAACGTTAACGAATACTTGATAGGATAGTTAAACTCTCACCTTTAGGAAATAAAAACCGATGCAAAACTTATAGAGTGCCCGACAGTCTCGTGAAGACTACGAAAAATTATTTGTCAGAAAAGTAAACAAAAAGCCAGAATTACAAAGGAGAGTTTCAAAGTTCAGGGAAACACTATCCGATCGGTATTGAGTTGAGCATCGATGTTGACGATCGATGTTGACGTCTCCCACGCTCCAAAAGGTTACCCAAAGACAAGGGAAAATCAATTGGTATTCATTATTTTCCATCGCTTCTTTTTATGTTTGTTCAGTGAAGTGCTCGTTGTCTGATCATAAAAATCTTTCGTGAAAGTGTTTGTTATCCGATTTGTTCATTAACCGATCACCCACTGTAATCAATGCTTCCACACATTAATAATAATTAAGGATTCATATTCATTATAATCAAGCAAATTGTTGTTTTTAATTACAATTATAATAAGTATTGTACAAAAAAATTTTCTAGTCATATATTCTTAGTTACTGCATTGCATTTAATGCACCATAACAGTCTTGCATGACTATATCAAGGCCATCGTATCAAGATTAAATCACCCAATCTGGAAATCACACACTAAAACATTGTTATTTAAAAACAAAAATAATGCAATGAAAAGTAACTGCTGGCATAATGTATATCACATGTCGCACATTACCGTACAAGTAACAAGTGGAGAACAGAACAACAAATAGTAGAAAGACCCAACACCATTCCATGCCTCCGAAAACCTGGGTCTAAAACGTCACTTTTAACGATACATCCATCCCGGATGCGCCAGACGCCCTCTCTCTATTTGTATTTCTATTTTTTGGTTGATACAGAGACTTTAGCCTGGTTGGCTCTCTTCTCCGACTGGCGTTGCCTAGTGTTTAGTTAAAGCGGCCTGTGCAATTGATATAAAGTACCAACACTACCACATGTTGATGTGGGGGTGTTGGTTTGAGGCCAGTAGATTGGCACGGATGATTGCGAGATTAAGAGAAAAACGTTGTGCCCAGGTCTTGGCGGGCCTCGTCGTAATGCAGGCAGTGCAGCCAGTAATGGAGTGTAGTCTCCGGTGTCCTGCACTAGGGGCAGGCCGGAGAATCACTTAAGTGCCGGGTATATAGAAAATGGTTTAGTGGGGCTGTCTCTGTCCTTAAACGGGCCAGAAGTGTTTCTGCGTAACGGGACGAAGCATGATGGTAAATCCAATCGACGAAAGGACAAAGATGGTGGCATCCTTTGTTACGCAGCTCGGGAGACCAGGTGTCTATTAAAGTCTGGACGGTTGTGGCACCCTCTCTCGTTGCCAGCAAGATTAGAAAAAAAGAGCCCCGAGCACCACAGAGCTTAAGGAGTAGAAAATAAAAATAACGTCAAACGACATTATTTTTATTTGTTATTCAAAAACAGTTGCTTCCATTTACAAATAAAAACTCTGCCCTTGGCAAATGCAGAGTCACCGTATTAGTTTACGCTCCAGACAATGTCGCGTGCCCTCCCGATACAGGTCGAACGGGTAATCGGACCAAAGGTCTGGAAAAAATTTCAAAAGCGGGACGGAAGCGACCAACCATCGGAGAAAGCTCCACGAAACGTTCCGAAAGGATCGAGTCGACCACCCACGAGAGAGAGAAAGAGTCAGCGTTGCCGACTCGTCCATAGAGATATTAAATCACGCGACGTGTGATTGCCGGCAGGACGACCCAAAAAAGATATTTTCAACGGAAATAAAGGTATACATCTTCTAATCCACGTCACACCGAGCACGCGTGTAAATATCCAAATTAAAACGGCGCCGGTAAACTAACGAAACGGACAGTAGTATTTGTACAGTTTTATAGAATTATCGGGTGTAAGGTGCGCGGCGAATTAAAAGACGCGGATCGTTACTGTTTCGGTTTTACGTTTAACTTGGAAAATACGACGATGAGTATTTAGGCGCGGTCGACTTTTAACAAGAATATTTACCAAGATAGAATACGCATTAATATTTAGACACATAAATTACGGTTAGAAATAATCCCCGAATTAAAATACCGTTACGGATTTACAAACAACCATTAAAAAGTACGGGTGAAAGGCGTACGGAACGCCTATCCACCGTGGCTTACCTGATGTTCTTTCTGCCATCAGACATTATTAAAAGGTTTAATTATAATAATAAGTTAAATAAAAATATATATTAAACTCTCTACGATTTTACCGATTAACATAACGCGTACGAACGTCTTAAAGTAATCCTAGATATAAAAAAAAAAAAGTCAAACGGAGGACGCCATCTTGTAATTCGAAAATAATCCGAAAGATAAAACGGAAATAGTCAAATCGTAATATTTAATAAAAGTAATAATTTAATAGCCAAAGAGTTAATTAAATTTCTTCCAATTATTAATCTAGTGGATAATTTTTTTTAAAAATTAACGAGTGAGTATTATTTTTATTTTCGTATCGCTTTTGGAAACACCCGCCAAAGAAATTAAGTTACGTTACGACTCGGATAAATATTTCCGTATTTCTGGAATCGTCGAATTTATTTATTTATTTGACGAGAACGAGTGGAAATTTCTAAAGTATGATTTATTGAAAGAATCTGCCAAGTGTCCTTATTCTTAGTAAGTGTGGTCGTAAACTATAAAATTGTCGGGTGAAATTCGAGTGTCTTCCAGATGGATGTGATGCCGACTGACGATTGCTGTCGAAATTTAACTCTTCGTGTTTATTAAATTTCTACCTAGTCGACTCTAAAAACGAACGTTTTCGACTACTGTGCTTTGTGAATCAGCGTGTGCCCTTTCTTTTCTTTTCCGTCTTCGTTTAATTCCTATAATAGTAATAATTTTGTAAAATTTTTTAATTTTAATTCGAGTGCATTTCTCGACGCGGATATTAGTTATTAAACTCCCCGAAATGCCACCTGGAGTACGTGCGTACCGTACTCTGCCTAGATTAAAAGTTTGATTTCTCGCCGCCGGAGTTACGGGTGCTTCGGTAATTTCGGATTTTTGGCGTCGCCTTCGAGCGGTGGCTGTCGTTTCGAGTTGCCGCTTCCTGGCGCGTGGGGTATGTATACGCTCGCGTCCCGGGGTGGCGGATTGTCGCTTTTCTTCTCGATTTTTTGCTTCCGTTTTGAAGCGAGCGTAGACGTGACTGTGTTTTAATTAAGATAAAAGTTATCGAGTATTTATCGTGTCTTGTTTCTTAACAAAATTTATCTTGTTATTATTTTCTAAAAGAAAATTACGAGTTCGGAAAACGTTTTCTATTCCTCGAAAGAGAGAGACTGTGTCGGAATGTGTAAAATTGTCTTTTACTCGGAGTTTGAAGATCGGCGTGACGGTTTGTGAGAGAGGGATGCGATCGTTGCCGGTTTTGAGACAAATGGGAAATGTCTCTGTTGGGAGACGGAGATGCCGTACGAGTTTGTATGGAGCAGTCGGTCAGTTCCGATTCCGATGACTGAATTTTGGTAAAAACTGAAGAAAAGCACAGATTAAGAGCTGGATGCAAAAAGATTACTTGTTTGGTGCTCCGAAATAAAATATGTCCAACATGTAGATATTTCATTTGTTTGAATGTAGAGTCTATTTAAACACATTGTAATTTACAATCGTTTTATTACTTTCAAAAGTAAGGGCAACCCTTACTTTTTCAAATATAATTTTTTTTTACTTTTTTATTCTGCAGTAGTCTTTGTTTATTACAAATAATGGGTGGCATTTCAGGGTTAAGATAGGTATGTGCTGTACATATAAATTTTGTTGAAGTATATAAATTGTTAGTTTTTCTGAAATGAGTAATTTAAATTCTGTATTATTTTTGTCTCGTTTTGTTCTTATGAAGGTGTTTCGAATGAGAACATTGGGATTGCTTTGTGTTTGTGTTTGATTTTGCTTGATTGATCATTTGGAATGTTTGGATTCTGTTTTGGTTTATTTCTGCCCTCCCGGGAGAGTGGGTGATAAGATCGTGTTTTGCATAATTAATCCATAGTTTTGGATCGTTGAATTACTGGTAGAAATCCTATACACTAGCAGACAGAATTATGGAATTCTCAAGAATTTTTAAATTGGAATATAGCTGGTATCCCAACAAGAAAGAAAATAATCTAAATTGTCATCGCTATGATTTCTAAGACGGTTTGGAATGGTGGTGTTTTCTTTTGAAAGTGACGAATGCTGACTATTATGATATATTTTCTGATTTTTATGAGTGAGAAAAATTTAAAACTTGAGCATGGTGCACACTTTTGTGTCTCATACAAAGGATCCTTTCGTTGTAGACTGGCACTGGTGAACAAACTACTACTTTGTGTAATGTGAATCTAAATGATATTTAATATTTGTTATTGTTGATTAGTCCTAAATATTGTCATTTTTAGGAGTAAAAAAAAGAAAGTATTAAGTTTAAAAAATTGTAATTACAGTAGTATTTGCTTATAACAAATCTCTAAAGACTGTTGGAACTGGTTCATTATAACTGATGATTGTTATTGGATAAGAAATAAAACAGTCAAATTTTGAAAAAGTATAGTTTAACATCTCAAAGATAAAATGTAACAAATTATTACATACAAAGTTGCCCATCAAGAATATCAATATAAATGCGCACAGTTACTTACAAAACTGTATTTGTTGATTTTTGCTAGTTGCATAGCATTTTATAATATAGTGTTGCCTCAGCAAAACTATTTAAAATATTTTGTGGCGTATTATGCATTTGTAAAAGCTCTTGAATATCAATAGTGTTTTGCAAAACTTTAGAAATTGGCATTATTGGAATGTTGACACCATCTGCATATGTTGTATTGTCATATTCATCCTCACTAATTTTATTATCTTTAGAAGACACTGAAACTATATCATCATCATTGGTCAAAAGTTTCCTAGTAATAAGTGTCATCAATCTTGACATATTCTTCAAAATCGTAGTCAGAATGTTCATCTGGTAACTGCAGAGGAAACACATCTTGAACACCTTTGGTAAAAGTTTATTGCATCAAGAAGATTTATAGAAAACAATTCTTTGCTATTATGTATAGAAGTTACCATTTTCAAAAGGAGAATTTCTCGCTAGCTGCTTTTTAAGCTGTGTGTAACCCCTTGATCTAAAGGTTGTAGTTTTGAACTTGTATTGGGCAGCATGAATAATGCAATGTAATTCAATTCACATGTAATGCAATGTAAGTTCTTGATATTGGGATGTACGAGGCAATTATCAATGTATAATAAAAGTTTTTGTTTCTTTCTTTTCAGTTCTTCATCCCATTCTCGCAGTTCACCACAGAAAATGTCAAAGCTCATCGAAGCTTTTCTGGTTAAATTTGTAGTTAACTAGTAGCTGTCAATTTTTGAAATAGCTTGGATTCTTTGATTTGCCAATTACTAACAATTTTCTTTTTTCTGTTCCCATAAGATTTGCAGCTAGTAGAATAGTAATTCTTTCTTTAGATAATTTTCTTTCTGCACAGCTTTCTCCTTTGAAATTTAGTGTCCAATTTGAATTAAGCTTATAAAAAAAAGACTAGAATTTTTAGCATTTGAATTATCACATTTCAAACTTGTGAGTATTTTGTCTTTTTCCTTCCAAATGGTAGCAACTGTCGATTTAGTTACATTCATTTCTTTACACTTCATAATTCACTTTGCTTTACCCTGCTTTCCAACCTTTTAATAATTTCATATTTAGTCTGTAATGGAAATGACTTGTGTATTCAAATATCTCTAAATTTGATAAATTTGTAATATGCCCAACAACTACTTGATTATTTCAGCCTACAATAGCCTGATATAGTCAGGTAGTTGTTTGGCATAATGGTTTTTCTGTTTACACTGTTTAAGATGGGAGAGCCCAGTAATTTTACTGATTCATAGGGCAATGCAGGCTGAAGCACAAGCTCCTGGTAGTCCGGACACCCATGCCAGTAAGGTCTATGGGGAGAAATGAAGCTAAGAGTGACCACACCCACATTCTGTAGAGATATTTATCATGGTAGCAACCAGGGGCTGTATTCTGGTCACTTATCTCTCGTCTCTTCTTTCACCGACGAATGACGTCAAAGCGAGAGACGAAATTCGTCTCTCATACACAGTGGTGATTCTGGTAGTTCGTAACAATCTCATCTTTGTTGTTGACGTCATGATTCTGTTCGGTTGATTATATATGTTCGGGTTATCTGCGCACGCAACACGGTATAGAATTTTAACCAATGAAATTGTAAAATTTTCGAAAGTGCAGAGTATGTAATCATAGATCACGTGGCAAGGAAAGCACGTGTTCAAATAATGCATGTAATTTTTCGACAAAGTAATTATTTTTTTAAAAAATGTTTTATAACGTTTTTAGATTGTAATGTCAATTTGTCTCCTTTAAGAAATTAAAATTTTAATAACCTAAGTTAGAAAAGCGTGAGTTCTTAGATATTTTTCGAAATATTGCGATCTAATTTCTTCTTAACTATCTAAGTAAGATTAACATCATATTCGACAGTTCAGTAATTGATGTAGGATAATTAAAAAAAAAAATTGGAATCAGTGACATTTCTGGGTAGGCGCTGGAAAAAAATCAGGATTTTCTCTCTCGAAATATTCTTTCCTGAGATAGAGAACGTTCTTTAATACTATTGTACAGCGTGAGTAGCATCCAATCGTCCATATTGGATATAACGAAATTGAGGCGAAAGACGAAAGAACGACCGAAAGACAACTATCTGCTTGTCTCTGATAAACGAGAGAATCGAAGAGAGAAAGAGTTGTCCAGAATCGCGTTTAGAGAGACGCGATGATCTCTCGAGACGTAAACAAATGATCAGCCAATCAGCGATCGGCTTGTGAGAGACGGCAGATGAGAGACGATGACCAGAATACAGCCCCAGATCTAAGTATGATACCAGTGTGGGTTAGGCAGAGGCTCACATTCGAAAAATAGGCCACAGTCTCCCTTGGTTACCGGTGGCGAAAGCAACGTCGGCCCAAGCATCATGGGCATAGCCAGGAAGGGGCATGGGTGGGCACGGCCCCCCTCAGTTAATCTGGTGCCCCCCAGAAAATTACAGCCAAAAAGAGTTGAGCCGATTTGCAAAAAGAAATAAAAAGCTGAAGCTAATTTAATTTAATTAGGTTTAGTGTACCCACTGAAAGTCTAAGGCACAGCCAACATATGGCCTGCTTAATGAATTTATGCGGCCTGTGATTAATCTTTGAATATTGGACTTAACTTCAAATAATTGCTTGAATGGATCTGTGATAATTCTTTATATCCTCACAATGTGAAGTGATAGAAAATTAGAGAAATTCTGTGCCCAATGTGAAAAGTGTATCTAATCTCTATGTACAGTTTAGTCTCTACGGGTTAAGGCATTGCTAGAGTTTGATATTAGTGTTACAAGAACATATGATTAAAGGAAGTTTCATATTATATGTGTGTTAAGTTATTGTTGATTCCTATGGAAATTTCATTTTAATGAACAATAATTTGAAATAATTCAATTTTGTGTCAGGCTGGCCTCTACTAGGCCCCCATAACAAAACTCTGGCTATGCCAATGCCAAGCATGGCTACTGCAATGCCCTCAACATATGTGAGGAATCAACCTAGCCTTGGTGTTTCTGTGGCAA